TGTCTGATATATTAAAGAAAAAAACAAAAACCTAAAATATGGCATGACAAAAGTAGTTTACTCCTCAGGGGAAGGGATTCTGCATCATTGCACATGTGAATAATTAAAGAGACGTGCATGCATATATTTTGATGTTTTGAGCAGAAAACTTCCGCTGGACAGTTGCTGCAGTTCTACCTTTTGCCTACCAGAGGACACTATTACAGTAGACCAGAGCAGCAGCTCCCAGCCAGCTAGGGAAGAAAGAATTTTCTTCACAATGCCTGTTGAGCCAACTCAGGAGATAGCATAAAATTGCTGGGGGAGGGGTCAGTAAGAGGCTCATAAGAGGGCGAAAACGGACTGGGGCAGGATCTGAATGGGAATGGGGGTGCAAGGCCTCATGGTGACAGGGGAGACAGTGTAGAGACATAGAATCACAGAATACTAGAACTGGAAGGGACCTCAAGAGGCCATAAAGTCCAGTCCTCTGTCCTCATGACAGGACCAAGCGCCATCTAGATTATCCCTTGTAGATATCCATCTAACCTGCTCTTACATATCTCCAATGATGGAGATTCCACATCCCCCTTAGGCAATTTATTCTACTGTTTAACTACCTTGACAGTTAAGAAGTTTTTCCTAATGTCCTACCTAAATCTCCCTTGCTACAATTTAAGGCTATTGCTTCTTGTTCTATCATCAGAGGCCAAGAAGAACATTTTCCTCATCCTCCTTTTAGCAATACCCTTTTAGGTACTTGCTATCATGTCCCCTCTCAGCATTCTCTTTTTCAAACAAAATGAACACAGTTCTTTCAGTTTTCTCTCATAGGCCATTCTTTCTAGATCTTTAAACATTTTTGTTGCTCTTCTCTAGACCCTCTCCATTTCCTCCTCACCTTTCTTGCCCAGAACTGGATACAGTATTCTAACTGAGGCCTAATCAATGCAGAGCAGAGTGAATGACTTCTTGTATCTTGCTGACAACACTCCTGTTAATGTATCCCAGAATCATGTTTGCTTTTTTTGCAACAGCATCATACTATTGTCACATATATAGCTTGTCACATATATAGCTCCTGGATCTCTTTCTTCCGTACTCCTTCCTAGACAGTAACTTCACATTTTTTGGCACAGATTTTTTTAAAGTCATTAAAACTATGCTTTTACTTATTTATACTTCTATGATAAGTATAAACAGATCAAATCCTTCCATTCTGTAAATATCTGAATTATTACTATAAACATAAATATTTGCAATGGTCATTATTTGAAATGAATTATAAAATCAGAGACTTTATTAGGAGGAGAAAGTATAGGTAGAAATGATTTTTGCCTTGTTCTAAATAAAATAAAAATTTGCTTGCTTAAAAATCAGTTTCATATGAGCTTCTATAGTAAATTATTATTCTTGCTCCTTACCGTTAGGAGAGGAGAGTAATTCTACACTATCCATGATGAACAGTGCAGTTTTTCTGTTATAGTCTCTGCATTCTGTGTAGAACTCCCAGACCACAGAGGTTTAAGAACAGATAGGCTGACAAATGTCAATATTTCTGTTATCCATCACCAAAGAAGAAAACTTCAGAAGCCGCAGCTGAGCCTGAATTAGGTTAGCATATTCACTTGGAAAGTGGAAGACCACAGCTTCTAATTCCCCCCTTTGCTTGGATGGGACAGAATATTGGAGCACGGGATCTTCCCATCTCCCACATAAGCAATCTAACACCCTGAGCCATGGGATATTCTGACACAGAACTCTCATCTCTCTTGTTGAAGCTGCGTATACACACATAGGCCATTTCTTCACTAAGTGGAAGATCGACACAACTGCAATCGATCTTCTGGAGTTCAATTTAGTGGTTTAGTTAAGATCCACTAAATTGAACTCAGAGGGCGCCCCCATCTGTGGCCAGCACTCCTGCTCTCGTGAAGAATAAGGGAGGCTGACAGTAACAAATGCTGTGGAGATTGCAGGAAAACTTAAATCAGGTATGTTCACTCCAGCTAAGTAATTAACATAGCTGGAGTTGCATATCTTGATTTGACCTTCCCCTTTAGTCTAGGTCTGGCCTGAGTTATTAAGATAGAAAGAGAGCACATGCATGTGAGTGACTGCCACACAGTGATTACAGCACTAATTCAAAATGTAGGAAATTCAAGATCTAGTCCCCCTGTTCCATGTCATTATTTATATACTGTTGTCTACACTGTAGAGTTTTTTCAGAAAAATGGCTGTTTTTCTGAAAAAAACTTCACTTATGTTCACACTGCAATCGCGTTCTTTCGGGGAAAAAATGGAAAGAACAGAGGGTTTTTTCTGATAGTGGTAAACCTCTTTCTATGAGGAAGAAACCTTTTTCCAAAAGAGCTCTTTCTCAAAAAGGGGAAGAGGGAATTCTTTCGAAAGATGAGGAAAGAATAAAAATCACAGGTCCATAGTAATCACAGATTAAATGTGAGATAGCATCCCTTCAGGGTGGATGCTATCTTTTGAAAAAGCAGATCGCTTTTTTGACGCGCTTTTGCTATATGGACACTCTCTTTCGAAAGAAGTTTTTTCGGAAAATCTCTTCCAGAAAAGCTTATTCCAAAATAAGCCTGCAGTATATCTGTGGCAGATTTAATAGGAAAAAACTAAGAACTACATAAGAATAGACCAATTACTAGGTTGGGAAGAATTAGATTTTTATCAGAAAATCCAGTAAAACTTTAATTATACATATATAAACCAACATAATTTCTGTCAATAATTGAAATTTGCAGATAGAAAAAATGCTGCTGAAGAACTTTTCAGAGTTTGATTCAATTATATTTCCTTTGTTATATTTTGTGTTGACAATTGTCAACATTAACTTTAAATCTTTAACTTTTTGAACCAATATCAATTGTCATTAAATTGTCTGACCCTCCCTACTGAATGAAACCCATATAATTTCATGAACCTGAACATATAAATTGATAAAAAAAATATTTTAAAATGAACACCTGTATTAGCAGTCTAAAATAAAAACAAAAATTCTGCCATACTAATGCATAGTAGTAAGGACACTCACCTAAGAGTAAAAGACTTCTGTTCAACTCTTATTAGTTATTAGGCAGATGTGAACCACATCCCAGGTGAGTATCTAAACCAGTAGGCTAAAAGTTAAATAGGCGATTTCTTCTTCTGAGCTATTTTAGATGGAACTAGGTGGCCTTTGAATGCTCCTACCAGATCAAGCCCTGCAGGCAAGGCTTATACCTCTCTTACTCCCCAGTGTGATTCACAAACCAGGGTAAGGGGGAGATTGGTGTCCAGATGCCTAATGTAAGTCATCAAAGTGCATATTCAGAGACAGGAACATAGGCACCTAAGGAACTTTTACCATGAAAACATATGTATCGTGTGATTTTAAACATCTACAGGCTTCAGGGCAGATGAGTGGAGGTTTTGTGAATATCTGCATTGCTAAATCCCGTTGCGAATCTAGACCTAGGTGCAATACAATGGATAATTGTAAGATGATAAACTATTTTCTGTATTCTTCATAGAGAATGCCACAAGCAATTCTCCTTAGGTAAACATCAAGGTGGGATGAACATGGAAGGTGAGATAGTCAAAAGCATGCAGGGTTGCCATCACTCGGCTTCCATTAAAGTTGTAGGCAGAGTAGGATTTTTCTCTATTGACTCATGAGTGCGGATTTAAGTCAACACTAAGCATCTTTGAAAATCCCACACAAGATTTTACCTCCTGCAAATCTTTCCATAAAACTGGAGAGAAAAATGGGTAGTTATGCTAGAAATTAAAGTTATTTTATGTAAGGTTCTTTTTCTTTTTTTAAACAGTGAAGGAATAAATATTTCCCAGTTAGAATTGATAGCAATCAGAAAGGTTGTGCAGGTCAAACTAATGTTAAGAATAAGGTAAAATAGAATAAAATTATTACTTAGGGTAATAAAATGCAAGACATTTTACATTCTTAAATGATATAATAATAAGATAAAAATCTGTTAAACCTATTAACATAAGATGTTGCCATTCTTCCTCATGCTGAGTAGGGCCTGACATGAATTAGATTATTAAAATAGTAACTAGGATTGCTTACAGTGTAGATACTATTCAGTTAAACCAAGATGTCAGAATGTGGCTTAATGTTTAGAAGTACATATATATATTAAAATAGCATACTTTCCTGACTTGTTGCAATTGTGCAAATATCGAAATAATTCTGCCTATAACTGATTCCAGCATTCCACACAGTATCACATAGCTACAAAACATTTTCCTTCAGCCAATACTTCAGCAATCAGGTTACTCCTACATTTACACACACAACACCTTTGACTGTACATATTAGATTAAAAAAGGGGGGGTTGTGTGCACTTACCCATAACTGTGTGTAATATTTGAGTTTTATGTGTCCTTGTATGTACAGCTTAGGCCCTGCCCATCGAATTAATGCAGGTGCTTAAATTTAGGCACCAAATCTGAGAAGATTTATGCACATGATTAACTTTATATGCACAAACCCTGGTGATGACACACACAACATGTGCATAAGAGTTCAATAAATCAGGGACTGAGATTAATAAGATATTGAAATACAGTTTACAAAAAATCTAAAAGAAAAGCTTTGTGTTTAAATCTGTTAAAGAAAATGGCACAAAATGAGGCATCTGGCTGATTATAGCAGTGTAGGTACCAGTCAAGTCAATATTCACAAGCTAATTGGTACCAAATGTTGTTTAAAATTATGCCTAAAATAATGTCATGTGTCAAAAAGTGCTTTTGTGCCCACACTGCTCAGTAATTTGTGCTACCAATGTCTGGTAGACTCCGTAACTTATTGTTCCATATGCTGTGTGTTGTTATTAAAGTTAACATGCAGTTCAGTGATTTTTACCTGTAAATACTTTACCAGTGCAAAAACTTCTAAAATATTTTGTTTTAAAAGTTTGTCAACCTCATTGAGGAAGGGAAGTCAGTACATTGTCAGTATATTTTTTAAAAAGGAACTTCTCCTCTGTTTTCAGATTCGAGGCCTCTTCCAGATGTAGCCCTGACAGGGAAATGTACTCGAGAGTGTGATGAATACGGCCACTCAGACTCCTGCTGGATGCCAGTTCGTACGTCACCTGAAAGGAAACAGAAGAGCCATCCAAAACTCTCCACCTTCATGCCCGTTGATGAACGAGGCAGTCAGGAAAAGCTGGCCAATGGAGAAGCCTCCCTCATGGGTGATCGCAACAGAAACCTCCTGAACAAAAAGTTGACCTCATCCTATGAGACCTTCAGCGCAGCTAGTTTCAGCAAAAATGAGGAAGCCAACCCAGAGGATATCCCCCTTACACAGACAGGGGAATACAAACCATCTCCTGTCAATACTCTAACTCGAAGAGAAGTTTACCTGTAGGTTACAAAGAAGCAACAAATTTCATTCATGTATAAGAAGGAAAAGGGGCAAAAAATTCATAAAATCAAAACAATTTAGCATGAGAAAAAAGGAAGAAAAAAAAGAGAGGGGGCCACCAAAGAGACAAAAGCTTTGCCTGCCACTTCTGCCTCCATATCAGGCACTTAATTATACCGTCTGCCTGACTATATTGTACAATGTAGAAACAATTGTTGTCACTTGCATGTCTAATCCCCCTCACTGATTTTTACTTTCTTCAATTTATGGTTGCAAATTCCTTTCATGGTAACAAGCCTGATTGAAAGAACCCCACACACTGTTGTTACCCCTCTGCTGAAGCATGATTTAAGTCACTCTGGTTTTGTTTGATTGTCATCTGGCTTGTTAAGGATAACAGGTCAGGCAAAATATATTCCAAGCATATCATCTGAATATTGCTGATCCCCATCAGGGATGATCCTTCAGAAACCGTACAAATATAGAGGTAACTATAAAGGGATAACCATTAACAGGCACTTTGTGAAGATCACAGCTTTAATATTCTCACCTGAGGCTTGAAGCAACAGAATTATATTGAGCCTGAGACTGCAGTCCAAAACATGACATATTTCTCTATGAATCATGAACTCTGGGTTCTGTTTTATCCATAGAAGGAACTTTCTAAAGGCTTACTTTAGCGTAACAAAATTAATGTCATGTGTACCGTAGCATACTAATGATAAACTGTTAAATTCATGTTATTTTGGACAAGACATATATCTAGTTGGGATGATCATAGTAACAAAAAGGCCAAAGATCGCACTATGGATCAGGGGAATTGCTAAGTATTTGGTCTTGGCTTAGAAATCCAATGTATCCACAAACATATGCATGCACACATAAATACACACTCAATTACATTTTGCACAGCAGCACAGTCCACAAGCTCAGATGACATACTTATATGAATTTTAGTAGAATGCCCAAAGGAACTGCTAAGATGTTTGCTGATAATGTTATAACATCATACAGCATTGGCTGTATGATATGATACTGCCAGTTCCAGGGAATATATTCTAAAAAGTTAATTTAAAAAAAAATCAGAGACTGAGTTGATGTTACCCAGAACACTTTTTGGGGAAGCTACATGGGGAAAAGTGATCTGTTGCAGTGACAAGGGTATATTGCAAGTAAAGTATAATTTCTTCTTTTCAGAGTGCAAGATATGTTTGCTAAATCTTTTGTCATCAGTGTTGCAGATTTCCAATTGTGTTTGTCAAAAGTATGATGCAGGTTTTCTTGAAACACAAGTGCATTAAAACTGAGTCCTGTGCAATATGAGACAATGTCAAGACTCAGCACACTCCAGCAAGGTGACAAATGATCTGATTCACTTGATCACTGCAATGATACTTTAGGTGATAGATCGGGAGAAGTCACAAGGAATCCAAACTAATCGTGAGAGCAAAGAGTAGTAGCCAGTGACAATTCTCACAGTGTACACTTCTTGAAGGTTGTAGGAAACAAAACAGGTTTTTGTGCAATAAAAGCAACAAAAAGTGCAGAACTTGAGCTACTTGCTTCGTAGCTGATGATGTAGTAATAACTGAAAACTGAACTCAGACATTCAGATGAAAATGACAATCAGTCAACACAGTGGGGAGAGTTTGAGGGTGCAAACATTCAAATCCCTGGGTATTCAAATAACCTGGCATTAAGGCATGGCTAGATGGCTTTCTTATAGACTGTAGTCACAATGTAGCTTTGGGTAGTTTCTTGCTTTTGAAGCATTACATAGAGAATATAACATTAAACAGCCTGAAATATAGGTTGATAAATCAGTACAACTCATCACAACATTTACTTTTCAAATTCTTTTCTCTACATAGTATTGTGCCCTTTTTGGCCATTACATTCTCCTGTTAAGTTTAGTTTTGATTTTGATACTAGTTTGTGTCTAGAAGTTATGATGAATGGGCACATGTTATGAAGAAAAACTATTAAAACAAAGATTAATAATTGACCATTTTTAATTAGTTAAATTGTGGAGAGATGCAAATTAATACTTTACTATGAGACTGTAAAGAACAGTTACTGTGTTGTATATCCTGTAAGTACCTGTTAAAGAAAAAAAAGAGAGATTTTAACTATACTTATCTAATGTATACATAGTTTTATTGCACGCTTCAACAAAATACAGAATTGCATAACAGATGTTCAACAAAACTTTTTTCTTTAATAGGAACTTTTTATTTAATACCACAGTTGAAAACCACTACATAACTTGTTTCAATATATCTTTAAACCCTTTACATAAAAAGTTAATAATACAGGTCCTAGAAGACCCATCAGAGCAAATGGATCAGCAGTCATTCACCTATTTTTGCACCACATAAGGCAGTCATGTCACTGGCATTTACTTGTGAGCATCTCCTTAGAATTAAAATGGGTGTGAAAAGAATAATAAAACACTTCAAGTATTCACAGTAATTGTAGTAGAACTACCAGTCATAACATGTCAATTACTATTATGACCTAGCATGACACAGAAATACATTTTGTGTTTGTAGGGGTTTTTATTCATTTGAAATAAGTTAATCTGGTGCCACTCCATATATATGAGTGCTTTTGTAAAAATGAACACACACAACTAAATGAAGTAAAACAAATTGAGTGAATGCAAAATATGCAACTGTGCCTTTTCTACCTGTTGTTATAGTAGAATGGTTGATTGGGTTTGGGCACTGAGGGGTAATGGGCTATTCCCAACTTTTTTGAACCTGTATATTGATCCCTGTTTATTTTCTGATAAATTATAAATAATATATTTAAAAATGCCTTCTGCCAAACTCAGATATTGGACCAGTCTTAAGTATCTTTGATTATGAAAACCAGACTATAGTTTAGTTATGTGCTACTTTTGTTTGTTTGTTTTCCTTCTAATCTATTGCCTAAAAAGCTACAGTATAAATTACAATAGGTAAATACCATACAGTTATTTAGCAGATGTCAAATTCATTTTGCCAGGAAAATTGAAGATTTTAGTGTCTTAACTGCTTTTTAGCTGCCATTACATTTTGGTTGTACAGTATAAAAATTGTCCTTTTTTTCCGTCCATGGGAGGAAACTCAAATGAACTTTGCATGTATTTTACATTAGGATACATTTATAGATTGACGCATAACTATATAACTTTATACATATTAGAGAAGACTGTAGCTTCAGTCTAAAAGCTAATGCTCATTCTGAACCTGCAGATCTACTATATTATTCAATATGGTTTCTGACTGGCCTGCTGCCTGAGTTTCAGGGAAAAAAAAAAAAAAGGTAGCCATTATTTTTATGTGAGGAAAAACTAAAATGGGATCGAAGATGCTTGGCTGAAAGGCTACCCTAGTAAGTTGTCAAGTAGGAAATATAGCGCAAGGCCATTGAATCTGCCATAAAGACATCTGCCGCTAAAAGGCTTTTAAGGAAACTTGAACAACAAAGCAGTTTCTTTCATTATATCAGTTATAGTGACAGAGTGTTTCCTTAAAACATGAGAGTGGTGGATAACAAAGAAATGAATGCAGTCCAGCAATTAAACTAGTTGTTGCCCAACCAGCATAACAAGCGGAAGACAACATCATTTTCCAACTAACTGGGGTACACTTTCGGACAACTTTTCCCTAAATTTTAAAGCACTTGCATTCAGTGTGGTACGCTCTGTTTGTAATATTAATCATTGACTATTGTTCTGCAACTTGGATGTTGATAGTGAAGCAGAGAACAATTTATCATTGTTTATTATGAATCACTATGCACGCACCTATGCTAAACATGGCGAAATGTATTAAATGCTAGTTCACCTCTATTTATGAAATATTTTACATAATTTAATTTGCTTTTGTACAGTTTTATGTAAATAAATTGCTTGTCATTTTTGTCTCTGCAAATTAAAATATAACATGTTCAAATGGCTGCCTATTTTCCAGCAGTGTACTTTCTCTGACAGGCCTTTCAGCTGGGTAGGAAAAGATGCTGAACAAATACACAGGCCAGTTTGAACATTCAGACCTATTTTTGCAAAATTTTAAAGTAAAAATAAGTGATTCTGCTTTTATAACTGGCCCCTTCAGTTGGCACTATAACTGTGTCGTTATTTTTCTCTCAACCGAGTTATACCATAGATTGGTTGCATTCCACACTTCCAAGTTCTACTGTTCAGGCCTGTTTAAACTGGAAAAATAAAATATTTGTAATAACAACTCTTCTTTCCTATTAACAGTGAAAGTGACCTAGCTCTTTAAAGCATTTAGAAAATGTTTACATTAATGTGAAAAAAAGACTAAGTAAAAGTGCAGCTGTATTTATTCACACAATGAAACAGTAATTTAATCTGGGATGGGGTGTAAAAAGACACGTATGCCACTTTCTCTTTTTTAAAACGCTCGGTAGCATTAACAATTAGCATGAAATGTTTGATCAGAAAAGACACAATCACAGGGCTAACACAGGGTTTTGTACAGTAGTATGTAATAGCAGATGTAGCTCCTTCCCATGGCTAAATCATGTCCTCCCATCTCCAAATACCCACTTAGGATCACAAACAACACATCCTCAAGAAGGAAGAGCAGAAAAGTGGAAAGAAGCTAGTCCTGTAGCTACCAGGATCAAAATCCCATGGTTTAAATAAAAACAGGCCCTAATTCATCTCCCATTTTATTTCTGACAAATGCAATTCCCAAATATTTAATTGAAAAGTGCATTCATACCTGACTGAGTGGTGAATTAGTCCCTTACTATGTTTCCTCTTTTCTTTCTCTGTCTTTGATCCTACCATGAAGAAACACTGTGATATTTTTAACAAAAGTTGAAATTATAAATAAAACATTGCAAGGGACAGCTTGCTACCTCTTGCTGTGGAATTTTATGCAACAATACAAAAAAAGTAATAAATTCCCCCCTTTCTGGCTTTGAGTTTTTTAAATTTGAATTGACTGGTACCCATAATTTTTATAGTTCATATTGTAATTACTGATCTCTGAGCTAGTACTTTCCCTAACTTTGCCTTATCTCTTCAAGTGCATATGTTAAGAGGCATCTACCTTCCCATTAACAGAGATATAAAATTTGTGTGCCTGTGGAGAGGTTTCAAACCTTAAACTGACCCTACGTTTTTAACATGGCTAGTCATAACTCCCACCAAAGGCATCATTTTAATGAGTAGCTTCAATCAGCCTTTCATGTTTACCTTATACTAATTCTCTACATGACCTTATGTTTGTTTATTTTGTGTTTTATCTTTACTCTTCTCTAATACATGTTTACAAACTGCATCTAGCAAGGTGATTAAATCAAGATAAAATAAATGTCCTGATCTGCAAGGAATGGCAAGAGATGAGAATGTGAAATGGAGAAAGCTAACAATTTATGCTCCCCTTTAACCTTGGCTTCATTTCCCCTCTTGCTTTTCAGTGAAATGTAAATCTTGTGCAGTGACTGAATTTAATATGAGTGACCTAGGCAGAAGTAATTTCATGTATTTACTGAGCTTTCTCTGGGAATGTGTAGAAGATGCTTAATAGTTCATAAATGTGCAAGCTTGTACTGATGGATGAATCAACACCAAAATTATACCAAAGGCAGGAAGGTTTAGTTTTTCTTATGAAATACACTATGATCTGATATTGACTGCTCATAAAAGTGAAAGAGGGAAGGTACCCTTGATTCTGAGGGGAACATTGCTTGCATTGGTATGGTAATAGGTATCAAATAACCAGTAAAACTGATCAACAAGATGCCTGGTACTTGTGCACACACAGAAAGGGGGAAAACGTTGAGAGGGGTGCGACTACACAGCAATTCAATTATTTTGAAATAATATTGAAATAACTGGCAGCTTATTCTGACTTCTGTAAACCTTATTCCATGAAGACTAATTCGTCTTCTGAAATAGCTATTTTGAAATAGCTCCTCACCAGAGCCAATCTAAATAATTTTTCCCCAGTGCTTCCTGGGGCTCTAAATCAAGATAGCATATCCATACTAGGGGAGCCTGCCTTGGACTAATTTTGAGGCTTCCCTGTAGTGTGGACGCTCTATTTCGAAATAAGCTATTCTGAAATATATCTTCTGGTATAGCTTATTCCGAAATAAGCATGCAGTGTAGACGTAATGTGGAAGGAACATGGAATCATAGGTTACAACTGGAAGAAAATGTGTTGTGCATCATGGATACCTTACTTCCGCAAATTAATTTTAAAATCTTTCAACAAAATTGATAGGCCTGTGCTGTAAAATACTGAGGGTATGTCTACACTAGAAAGTTAGTTCGAACTAACGGACGTTAGTTCGAACTAACTTTCCTATGCGCTACACTAGCGCTTCGCTAGTTCGAATTTGAATCGAACTAGCGGAGCGCTTAGTTCGAACTAGGTAAACCTCATTTTACGAGGACTAACGCCTAGTTCGAACTAGCTAGTTCGAACTAAGGGCTGTGTAGCCCTTTAGTTCGAACTAGTGGGAGGCTAAGGCTTCCCAGGTTTCCCTGGTGGCCACTCTGGCCAACACCAGGGAAACTCTATGCCCCCCTCCCGGCCCCGGACCCCTTAAAGGGGCACGGGCTGGCTACGGTGCCCGTGCCAGGTGCAAGCCTGCCAGCACCCAGCCA